GAGAGAATGTCAAGGAGACTCCCTGCTGAGCGTGGAGCCCATTGTGGGACTCAGCACGGGGGTTGTTGAGTCCAGGATCCTGAGATCATGACTTGAGCTGAAATCAAGAGTTGGACACTTAAGCAACAGAGCTACCCAGGTGTCCCTTTCACTCTCTTTTAAAAGAAACCTATAGGGGTGTCTGGGTGGCTCAATTGGTTAAGCGTCTGCCTTCAGCTCAGGTCATGATCCCAGGGTCCTGGGATTGAGCCCCACATCAGGCTCGCCGCTCTGCGGAGAATTTGCTTCTCCCTACCGCACTCCCCCTCCCATGTTCTCACTTGCTGTCTCTGTCTTTCTCAAATGAATAAAAAAAAAAAAATCTTTTAAAAAGTTAAAAAAAAATAAAAGAAACATAAGTATCATTTGGGGGCATTGTTAAAAATCCTATCTTGGAATAAAAAAATAAAAAATTATAAAAAAAAATCTTATCTTGGTTGTTAGTTTTTTTTTAGAGCCCAAATTATGTTGGTCACTATTTATGCTCTTTGGAAGAGCTCTTATCACATAGTCAAATGTTGTGAACCAACCATATACCCCTCTGTGTTAAAGCTCTCCAGAAAAACAGAACCAACAGGACGTGGCAGTCTGGAGACCCGAGAAAGAAAGCCAACGTTGCTGCTCAAGTCCAAAGGTAGTCTGGAGGTAGAATTCTTTCTCCATCATGGGAGGTACTATTTTTTTTTTTAAGGCCTTCAACGGATTGGACGAGTCCCCCCCACCCCCCATTGTGGCAGGTCATCTGCTTTATTCAAAGTCTACTGATATAAATGTTAATCTCATCTAAAAAAACACTTCAGAGCAACATCTAGACTCGTGTTTGGCCAAATATCTGGGCACTGTGGCCTAGCCAGGTTGACACAGAATTAACCAACACTGGCCCCACACCATAGGGTAGAACTTGGGCCCTTGTCTGGGGTCTTACATATGTCAACCCCTGGGGAGCTACCTCCAGCAGAGTAACTCCTGAGGCAAGCCCAGGTCCCCACTCCCCTACAGGGTGGCTCAGCCATTTTAGAGATGGGGAAGGACTAAGGACTAAGATGGCCAAGGACTAGCAAAAGGTTCCATGATTTGGGCCCAGGATCAAAACAGGCCTGGGGCAGAGTCAGGGCAAAACCCAGCATCAGTGGTATTCCCACCCAGCTCTTTCTGCTACAACTCTTGGCTCCAGCAGGACCTGAACTTGAGACTCCTAAGGGACGTTCTCATTTCACTTCCTATTTGGAATATTACAGCCAAGCCTGAGCTTGTTCAAGCCACAAACTCTTAGGGAAGAAAATCAACTTATTCCCTGGATATGCCTTCACACCCCCATCCCCGGCCCTCCCACAAGGCAGGGGTCCCCACCCAGCGGCCACACATGGACTCATCCACAGAGCGACTTCTCTTTGAAAAGTGCTTTATTTCAACAAGATCTAAGTTAGGTGCATGAAAACATATCAAAATGTTACAGACATTTATGGCTCCCTCTGAGGCCTCGTCAAATTATGTTAGGATACCCAGATGCATCAGTTTATAAGTTCAGAACCAAACATTGAACCGGGTCATGTACCATTGTTGAAGGCAAGGTATGATAAAGAAACGAATACCTCGCGAAGCTAACATAAGTGGGGAAAACCTGAAGAAACACTAGCACTAACACACCAGAAACCATCAGCCGGGGAAGCAGGTCTGCAATCTGCTGAGAAGGCCCCGGAGGACAAACTGGGCTTTCCCTTCCGGGCTTGTTCACGTCTTGTGCTTGGTTCAAACACGGGGGGGGGGGGGGGGGGGCGCGCTATAACCTCCCGTGGCAGGGGAAACGCTTTCAGTTCCACTGAAAGAAGGGCTGCCACGTTTCTCTGTATTTCTGCCTCTCTTGAAGATTTTCGTCTCACCTGACTCAAGCAGGACTTTGTGTAAAACAACTTAAGCAGTAACTCGGAAATGTGTGCTACGGCCTCAAGGGTGCTGGGAACCTTCCCCGCTTGCTATCTCAGCTCCCACATCATGGTTTGGCCACGAGACCCTGAAAGTCCCCCGCTCGCAGAAAATCTCTCTCTTGGCCGTTTATCTAGGACACCATATTCTCTGTGCCGTGGAGCTTGGTATTTTTCGAGGCGGGAGAAGGGGGAGGAAAGTTCCTCTTAAGAGAGTTTCTTGCCCTACTGGGAGCCATCGCACCTCTTTGCTCCTGACACCAAAATAACCACCCAGCCCTGCAGAAAAGAATTTGTGCCAAGAAGTTTTACATCTGAGAACAGATTTGCGTGTGTGTATCATTATATTTCAAAGTCTTATTATCTACAATGGTGATAAAATGTCTATATGGGGATCTCCAGGAGAGTGTATTGTCTTCTTTCTGCTAGGGAGAAGGGAAGGGTGTGAATATTTCTCCTTGACGTCTCAGACCAAAACCTCAGCTCTTGGTCCCAGCATGGGACCTAGTGGGTGGACGGCTAATCTGATCTCCTCTCTCTTAAACCTCACGTAGAATTCAAGCCTATCAGCCTGGAGCCCAGCGCACACATTCCTCACCAGCCCGCACAGGCAAGCCTGCTGCTTGTGCTTGTCAGTCCTTCCCCAAGATTCCCCTGCCCTCCTATGCCCCCCTTTAATTCTTCACCTGCCCACTCACGTGATCACTGAAAATGTGACCTTGTGCTTAATTCCACCAACACCCGGCAGAATGGGCCCCACGCCCCCCCCCCCCCCCCCCCCAGCCAGATGAGACTCAGGCTTTTCCTTCATTTGATCACCTTGTAACACAAGCCCCCCAGGAAAAGAAAGCCAGATGTGGCTAGCCTGCTTTTCACAAGTTAGGGAAAAAACCCTATAAATTGGCCTTTTGTTCCTCACCCGATTTCAGGTTCATTGCACGCAATTACATAAAACCACACAAATCAGTAGAGGAATTCAAAGCTGCAAAGCCATACGATACCAGTGAGAAAATCCGGCTCCACACCATGGAGAAGTGTCTCTGTTTCAGCCACTGCTATTTCAAAAGACCTTTCCAAAATTCCTGGTGGGGTTATTAGGATGTGAGAAATGATCTCCAAACAGGGTGGGCCAAGACGGAAAAGTACAGCCCGTGGTAAGGGGAATGTATCCTGTAAGATGCGATTTCCCCTGACTTTCACCTTGACACCCGCCCCCCCCAACCCCATCTTTAAGAGCCCAGGTCTACCCTACGTTTTGCAACATTTCCGTATTGAAGCGATTGTAGTGCTAGTGCAAATCAAAAAGAACTTTTATAAACCAGAAGTCGCCATCTAACAAAAGTTAGACGTTAGTCATCTGCTCTGTGGAAATTTTTCTGCCTAACCCACCAAGGAGAGTTATGGGACCAACACAGGCTTTGAACATTCAAAATAAAAGTAACTGGAAGAGAATTTCTTAGGTCATTTTCGCAAATGCAAAACTCAGGAAGTCTGTTTGCATTCACCAACCGGCTCTTTCCCAGCTCTAACAAAGGAAGCCTCTCCCCCTGCCCCCGGGGTTTTCTGTGCATTTTGCTGGGAGGCCCACCAAGGGGTATGATGGAGACTAAAGCCTCCGGATTTCCAGTCCACGCCCCATAGGGCTGGTGGCGCTGTCCCCAAAGAGGAGGTCGCCTTGCTAAGAGACCCCCGGCAAGATGCCAGGTGGCAGCACGCCATCTTTGTGAAAGTCAACAAGACCACAGCTGCGAGCCATCTAACGAGGCTACGGAAGCCACAGAAGGGAGCAGGGGGCAGGAGGGGGCAGGAATGGCTCTGCTGCAAGCACCCACCTTCTTTGCAGACACGGATCAGTGGCTCTCCTTCCGCCAACTGCCCGGTTCCCCAAACCTTTCTTGGAGAGAAGAGATGGGGACACCCTCCCACAACAAGGCTGAGACACCTGCTGCTCGGCGGAGCTCCCACCCTTGCCTGGTTGATCCTCTGCTCCCAGCATCTGTCTGTCCCTCTTCAAACTGTACCAACCACATTGATGCCCAGCTACCCAGTGGTCTTCCTGAGAGGAGACAGACTGTCCTACTCTTTCTCCCCCATTTGGGGTCTGTTCCAAAGATCACCCAGGTGCCTGCTCAGAGAAGCTCCACCCTCCACGTGCACCTGCATATGGCAGCCCAAAGAGCTTCCCTGAGCCCCACACTCAGTCAGTAGCAGGGTCCTCCTCATGCTTGGAGTCCATCTCCATGCATAAGTTGAGGGCAACTTGCAAGAATCCTATGGTTGGGAAGAAGAAACCCTTGGCCTTGACCTCAAACACATGGCTTCAGCTCCAAGTGCAGGGAGAGCCCTTGATGATGGGAAATGGGCTGGCCTCCCAAGCATCTGTCACTTCAGCAAGGAGCTTCTATGATTCCCTAAAGAGGGAAACTCTGGTCACCACCCAAGGACAAGTCCAGGTCTGGGCCATACTAGCCAGTTGGCCACGGAAAAACCCATGAAACATTTCCTTCGACTCAAGGAGGTGCCAAAGAGTTGGGGTTGGCCTCCACGGCATGGGGTTGGTATGCTGAGTGAGACATCAGTCTCTTCTCTTCTCCTAGGCATGGCCACAGAGGTGAGGACAGAGGCAGAATCCACACAGATCACATACATCTTTGTTATTTTAAACAAAGTTTCCAGTGTAAAAACTTGTGGGTTTATTGCATCTATCCCACAGATGATTTATCTTTCTCTTTCCATCCGACCTTCCCCAAGGGCATGGGGCGGCTATTTTGTTAATTTCCAATGCCCAGTCTTTCTAGACGTACGGGGAGGATCTCCACTAATATATAAATACCCCAAATGGTGAGTTTGCGGAAACCCCTTCCCTTCCAAACATGCGTGGCTGCTCCCTGGCCCTTGAGGGAAGACATCAATGTCAACCCCCCAGGTGGGTGCTGGTGGCTCGGAATTCAGTTCCATGTAAATATCAGGTAGGCACATGGATATGTACCATGTGTGCACATGCGCTTACTAGTGCATGCGTGTGCTCAAGTGCATACACACACACACGTTGGGTCCTTATAACAAAATTCAAAAGTCCTGTGAGTGAGAGAAAGGAGAGGAGCGTGGGGATCCGAGGATGGGGAGCTGTCTGCTGGCTTCTCCATCCTGCTGTAGGCAATGGATGGTGGTTCCGCAGGAGCTGGAGGGGTCTGTAGCTACACATTTCCATGGAAGGAAGGCTCCCAGCTTCCTGTGCGTCTTCTTGTGCCAGTGGCGGCCCCTGTGGCGTCTGGATCCCCTCCTTCATGTGGCTCAGATTGTTGCTGGGGTCTCGGCCATCTCTTCCAGCCTCTGCCGGATCATGAGCCGGAGCACAGTATACCTGGGGGCAGGAACAGCTACAATGGGCAGCAGAAAGCAACACATGCTCCCTCGTGATCTTCCCCCACAACCCGGGTTCCTGGGAGCCCCCTGTCAGTCCTTTCACTTCTATCAGTGGCCCAGCCGCCAGCCACCCTGTGTGGCCTGTGTTCATTTCCGCACCCAGAGGAGAGGAACTGAGCAGACCCAATCCAAACTAGACAATCAGATTACAGTAGCATTCAGTAAATGTTAACTGCTTTTGCGCGATCATCATTGTTAGAGCAAATAGAGCATTGGCGCTATTCTCCAGGGACAGAAATCAATCAATTGTTCTGCCGTATCCATGGAAAGCTGTCCACTTTATGAATAAATATGGCAAAAAAAAATTTAAAAATCATAAAATTCTCCCCAGAGAAATAGGGTGAAACAGGTGACGGGGATTGGGAGGTACGAACTTCCAGTTATAAGATAAAAAGTCACAAGGATGAAAAGTGGAGCGTCGGGAAGACAGTCAATAAAGTGTCAAAACATTGGATGGTGACAGATGGGGACTTCGCTTATCATGGTGAGCACTGAATAATGTATGGAACCGTTGCATCGCTATGCCAGACGCCTGAAGCAAATATAACACTGTATGTCAACGACACTACGATCATAAAATTTAAAAAAAAAAAATCCTCTCCAGAGAGAAGCTTTACTGGACTTTTCAAGCCAAATGTAATTTCCAGAAGAGAAGTGTTGAGAAGGAAGAAGGGTAGAAGAGAAGGATTTCGGAGGTAGGTAGCTCAGGCTACTTTCCACCACTAAGACAGCCTTCCTGAAATCCCCAGAACATTTTTCTGTCCCACATCAAAATTAGAAGCTGACCCAGGAAGCAGAGAGAACAACACACTTAAGCATTGTGTCCCCATCCGAGATCCACATGTGTCACAGGGAGCCCCTGGGAAGAAGGTCCCCAGGACCCAGGCCCACACAGCCACTCAGCACAGTCCCCGGGAGGCCCGGGGTCCCAAGAAGCCCAAGCAGCTGCCCCGGGGCCGGCCACACGTACTTGCGCATCAGTTTCTTGACTTCTCGATCTTCTTCCTCTTGGAGCTTCTGAATGAAGCTTTTTAGGACAGGCATCTCAAACTTTATGTACTGGGCCACCTGGGGAGGAAGAAATCCGTCTGGGGTGCGTGCACGCCCCATCCCAAACTTATTCCAATTCCTTTTGTTGTCTGTCTCATGCAAGGTGCAACGGGGAGGGAAACCTATTTCTGCACGGATCCAAGATTTCTTTAAAGGCTACAGTAGCCAAGCCCTGTTCATCTCACAGCTGGCACAGAGTTTGTGGTGACGGTCACTCCCTATCCGTGACACAGTCTTAGAACTTCTCATCTCTCATCCCATGTATCCAAATGCACGACAAGCTGCTATCCAACATGCAAAGCACTCTCTCGTGAGGCAGCGATGCTGAGAACACCTTAACCCCCAAGTCAATAGACCTGTACATTCTGCCCTATCGGGATTCAGGGACCCATGGCTCAGGACGATAATTTGCATTTGGAGTCTCACACGGGCATCCAAATGGGAACTTGCTCCAGAGAGGCCGTGGGGGTGAGGGTGCCCCCAGGTGAGCTGAAGTTAAAGCAGCTGTCCCCTTGCCTCCACAAGAATCCCCCTCCTACTTGATCAACTATTTTCCATGGGAAAAGCCTATTCATGTTGAGCTGCTCGTGGCTTGCTTTGGTTGATGGAACGTGTGTGGACATGATATAAGGTCCGTTTGAGTGGAGGTTTCAGAGGAGCTTATGAGGTTCAGTCTTGCATCTCGCCCTCCAGGCAGCTGCCCTGGGAAGTGTACCTCAGGAAGCCACTACCCCTCATACCTGGGTCTCGGACTGAGACGTGCCACACACATCTGAACTCAACCCCAGGCTGGGAGCAGAGCAGGCAGCCACCAGCCTGCGGTGCCCTGGGCAAGAAAGTGAACATTTGCTGTGGCAAGCAGCTAGGATTTGGAGATGTTTGTTATTGTAGCAAAAGCTGACTAATACACAAGATAAGGGAAAATCCCTGCCAACAGCTTCAAGTTGCTGAGAGAGGTCTGCAGAAACTTCTCAGCCCTTTACAATACCCTAGAAAGGTTGAAGACATTTACTCTTTCTGTGTAAACCACTTTGTGCCAGAACATTCCCTCAACAGCTCCCCCGGCGCACGCCCTCCGCCTAGCTTTTGTGTTCATTCTCCCGGCCTCATGACCATTCCTGCTTCAAGAAAACCTGGTATTAAAAGTAATAATAATAAAAGAAAAAGAAAGAAAAAATTAAAAATTAAAAAAAATTTTAATCGTAATAAAATGTTTCATTAAAAATAAAATAAATAAATACATTTAAAAAATAAATTTTAAAATTCAAAAAATAAAATAAATGAATTAGAATAAATAAAAATATTTAAATGTTAAAAATCAGAAATTTGAAAATGTTTTAAAGATGGAAAAAAGTAATAAAAAATAAAAAATAAATTAAACTTTAAGAAAGAAAGAAAAGAAAAGAAAACCTGGTATTGAGGAACGGCAGGTAAATGGGACTTGGTCCTTGGCCAGAAAGTCAAGCTGCATGTCACCAAGCAAATCTCCATCCTCCTGAGGACAGACCGCCCACCGGAAGGGGACTCACGTCGTAGGTGATCTCCTGCACCTGGTCCTTCTCCATAAGAAACACTTTGGAGACTTGCTCACACGGTCCCTGGAGGATTCGGGCAACCAGAGGGTAATCGGTGTTCTTCAGCTTCTGTTTCTCTGGAACCACACACACAACCAGGAACAGCCCTGAGTTTGGCCTGAGGACTTTCTCATCGTAAGAAGCGGCCAACTCAGGAGCCCGGATGGCCCAGGCCCCTTAGAAGATGTGGCCAGGTACGTCAGGAGACTGAATTGTGAATGAACAATTCTGGTTCAAAGCAACCATTCCTTCCCCGCTCTCCCTGACAAAACTACCAGGTTCCAACCCCTCTGTAAGACGCTACATGGGAGGAATCGGTTTCATCTACCTCTCGAGAAAATCCGGTCGCCTTTTAAATAAACAGTTAGGTTTTAGACCACCTACGGCCTTCCCCAGCGGACTCAGACAGTGACCCCACCAGCCTCAGGAGCAAACAACATTTGGAACTTTCCAAAGGCCAAACAACAAGGAAATGAGGCCGACTTGAGGGACGTAAACATTTTCAAGTACACTGTGTTTTTCAGACTTACCACCGCTGGTATGGACCACGTACAAAGCAAACTCCTCTGCGGAATTCTCGATCTGAATCAGAAACAAGAGATGCTTGAAGAGAGTGCGTATTTACATATCCTACCTCTGAGCCATTCCTTCTGGAACGTTGCAAAGCTAAATGGATTTTCGGTGCTTCTGAGGGGGAGCCATATCTCTCCAGCTCTCAGAAGGGATGAGAAGAGGGGCCGATCACAAGTCAATGAGAAGGATTCACCTTTTTGGCACCCTGCCAAGCACTGGGCGATATACTTGGCCCGTGTTAACTCATCTCATGTTCCCGACAGGCCCTCAGTGGGGTCCCGTGAACCCTCATTTTACAGAAGACGAAGGAGAAGCACAGGGAGCTTAAGTCACTATCTCGGCTCCTTTAATCAGCTGGTGACGGCTGGGGATTTGAACCCAGAGACCACCAGCTGACAGTGGCCTCAGGGAAAAATGGGGATCCCTGTCTCCTAAAGATTTCTTGTAAAGGGATTGTGTAAAACCTGCAGAGTAACAGGACTTTATGGACTCATGCACTAGAACTTGCACATGTACTGAAGTTCATTTTTCAGAATACGTTTCCCAAATGTGTTTCAAAAGCCAGTCTGTGCCTGGGCTCTAGGGTGTGTGCCTGGGGCCTGGGGTCTGGGGTCTGTGCCTGGGCTCTGGGCTGCTTCTCAGAATTCAGCGGACCAATCTCCTGCCATTTGCCAAAGAGTTTCCCTGGTCCTTGGGCTTCGGATTCAGTGGGTCTGCTTCAGGGCTGGAGACTGGGAAGCTGCTTGGCTAACAATCTCCCTTGGGATACTAATGCCACTGGGTCAGAAAACCCCAGGCCCCCTCGACCAGTGCCCCCCGCTTACTGCACACTCTCCACGGTCCCCCTTCCCACCTTGGGGGCGCCGCAGGCCCCTGTGCCACCCCTCCAAGGCCAGCCCGCGGAGGGAACTTGCCTTGAATTTGTTGAGCAGCAGCTTCAGGACCTGGGGGGTGGTCATGGTGCTGTTGATGCGGACGTTGGTGACGGAGCCGTAGGCTGGCGTGAACACCGATGTCTGTCAATAGAGGGAGACGGCTCAGGGTGGAGGTGGGGACAAGAGGGGACAAGAACTGGGCCCTAAAACCCAGGTGTCCCGGCCCCATGACCTGGGGTAAAGGGCACAGTGACAAGGGCACTCTCCCTGTGCACCCTGAGGGTCCCCCTCCTCCCCCACCCCACCCCAGAGAGCTGTGCCTAACTCCGGTTGTCTCCTCCACACTGTCCCCATGGGAAGCTGGAGGGGTCTGAGCTCAGCGAGGAGGGGGAACGGACCCAGTAAGGAAAGCCCTCTCGCCAAAGAAAACACGCACAAGGCCCCTTCTACTGTGACTTCAACGCAAGGGGTCTCTGACCCCTCCTGTGAGGCACATGCTTCTGGGGCTGGATTCAGACCAGGCAGTGGGAGGAAAGGAAGATCAGCTAGAATTGGCGGGGGGACGGGTCAGGTAGTGCACAGACACCCCCTGATTTGAGTCCTGCAGCCCTGCCTCAGTGGGTAGCACGCAGCTCACAGAAAAGTGAGACCACCCAGCAGCGAGAGGCCCACGGTATAGGAAGGGGTACATGTGGATTTTCCAGGGAAAATCTGATGTTTGTGGGGTCATCTCACCCACCACCCTATGGGGGGCTCTGATCTTGGGTTCCTCATCCCTCCCAGAGCCCGTGGAGCCTGCAGCCCACCCATGACCCAAGACGGAATAGCAAAACTTGGCTTCCCACTCGTCTGTAGCCTTGAGGTGGCCCCTGCCCAAGAAGAGGCCTTATTCCCTTGGGGCTACCCCCAGCCCCTCCCCTCCCCCATCCTCTCTACCTTGTGGTTGTAGAAATGGCCATTGATGGAAAAGCGGTGGCGCCTGATTCGTCTCTGGTCACCGGGTGTCCTCACGTTGCCACGGCGACGCACCCCAACATCACTGCGTGTGCGCATCAGCTGGGGGGTGTCTTCCTGCAGGGGCTTGAGGCCCCTGGAGTCTAAGAGGGAAGGGAGAGATGAGCTCCGTCTGCCCAGCCCAGGGTTGTGGCGGTTTGCACACAGTCCCCTCTTTGTGGCCAATGCTACCGTCGGTACCAGCCACGGCCTCCCCCTGAAATACATTTCATCAAAACAGTATTTCTTGCAGGGGCAAAAACCTATGGTATAATTTATGGAGAAGCAATACAGTGACAAGATTCAGAAGAGAGACTCGAGAGCCAGATTCCCAGGGCCAAATCCCAGCTCCACCATTGCCAGGTTTCACTAACCCCTCTACGCCTCAGTTCCCTCATCTATAAAATGGGCATACTAATAGCACCCCCATCACGGGGTTGTCGTGAGGGTTTCCTGAATTAATTCACGCAAAGCACTGAAAATAGTGTTTGGCACAGGAGAAGCATGACATAAGGACCTGACAGTACTTATCAAAATTACAAATGCTCATAGCCTCAGACATAGACACTCCACTTGAACGCATCCTACAGACATGACAAATGTGTGAAATGACACGTGTCCAGGGCCACTAACTGCCATTTGTCACAGCAAAAGACTGGAATGACTTCAACGTCCATCAGCGAGGAGCGATTCAGCTCTCGTTTTCTCCACACAGTGGAACACAGCTGGATAAGAAGGCCAAAGTTCTTTACGGATTTGTGTGGAACACTCCTCAAAACAAACCAACAGAAACAGGGATGTGCAGAAACAGAAAAGAGGAAGAAAAGAAATGACCTCCGGGACGCCTGGGTGGCTCAGTTGGTTAAGCAGCTGCCTTCGGCTCAGGTCATGATCCCAGCGTCTTGGGATCGAGTCCCACATCGGGCTCCTTGCTTGGCAGGGAGCCTGCTTCTCCCTCTGCCTCTGCCTACTACTCTGTCTGCCTGTGCTCGCTCGCTCACTCTCTCTCTCTAACAAATAAATAAATAAAATCTTAAAAAAAAAAACAAAAAAAAAAAAAAAACAAAAAAAGAAATGACCTCCAACCATAAAGGCGTGTTGCTGTGTATTTGCTTTTCCCTGTCTAGAATACCTCAGAAAGAATGCCTTCGAGGATTTTCCAAGGAGGGAACCACTTGTGGTGGGGAGGAGAAATGGGGGAACTTCCGACTGCCTCCTTTGAACACTCGTTAAATCTCGAACCATGTGACTTTTATTAATTCCATTCACAGCATCTAGATCACATCAGTCCTCCCAAAGGTGAGCCCAAAGTGGGACCCTTCCTGCCTCATCTGTACCTGTGGGGCTCGGTGTCTGCTCGCCCTCGGGCGGGGCATCCGCTTCTGAGATCTGAATGTTGGGCACGGTGAGGGGCTTCAGGATGGTGCTGGGGAGAAAGAACACAAAACGGAGACTGGTTCAGTCCCTGCAGGGGGACCCTCCCTCTCCTGCAAGAGCACTTGGCCTGGGCCGGGCTGGGGACCAGCACAGCCCCGTGCGGGCGGCCCGTGAAGCTGGCCCCGCTCCAGGGCTGAGCACTGGGAGAGGAGGGGGTGTTCTGGAGAAGATGCTTTTTCCCAGCATCCGCTCCAGCACAAGCCCCTAGTTCATCAAGCCCGGGATGGAGAACACCAAAGAACAAAATCCAGGTGTTGTCTGCACTATTTCTGAGCACATACAGGTTCTACGGCGTATTTGGAAAACCCTGTAACAATGAGCATTTGCTTCTCCAGACAAGATTCCAGTTCAGATCCTTTTCTGTTGGAGGAGTAACTCAGAAATTGCTTCTGGCATCTTCAAGGAGGAGAAGCACAATACATTGGCTGCCCACGAGGGTCAGAGCAGCGTTGGAAAGGCCACTGACGATAGTGTCCTTGGGGTTGCCAGACGGGATGCTCAGCCAAGCTGGACCCCACACAGCCAGCCTGAGCAGAGGCCCGGATAACTGGCAAATGACCCAAAAAGAATAATGACTGCAACTCAGAGATGCATACTCCAAATCAACAGGAGATTTGAGCAGAGAGGAGAACCATATTTAACCCATTAGGACCATTCCATAGTAAGAAGAGCATGGGCTCCCTGGGATCCAGTCGAGATGGGACTTAGGATCCGGGGATGACAGTTTTAAGGGAAGACAATAAAAACTGAAAATCTGGAAGGACTCCCCACTGTGGTCTAACTCTGGACTTCTGACCACAGACTGGAGCTGGGGAGGGCGGCTCCCACCGCCCACTCCCTTACCGCAGCAGAAACTGGTCTCAGCCCACTTCTTAGCCCAGTGGCCCAGGTATTTGCTTGATTCTAGCCGGCATTGGGGATGACATTCATTACCGTTCCTGACAACCCGCTCAAAAGCCCTGACGGGTTTCAAGAACTAGCCAAGCCCAGCTTGATGTTGCAGGGAAGGGAGGAGAAATGAGTGTGCGGAGTGAAGGACGCGCCAGCAGGTTTAGCCAAAAATCATGCAGTCAACGGTATTCTCAAAATCCCCTCGTGGAGGGGACGCAATGGAACACAGCCTGGGTGTCGTCCAGCTGCGGCCATGGAAAGGGTTTGGCCCGCAGGAAATCCAAGAAGGCAAAAGGGCTGAAATCAAATTAGAGCGTGAAACTAGCCAAGGAGATGAAGCCCGAGAACCTTGACCAGACATCCCAGCAGCCGATGGGACGGGCGACTTCTCTCCTAAAATTCTCTGGGAAAGAAAGCACATCAGCTCCAGGGCTTGGCCACCATGTAGGCGTCTCTCAACTTTAGAGAAAGATGGATTTGGCTGCAGAGTTGAGCAGAATTCCAGTGTGTCCAACAGAGACGGCTTAGGTCCGGTTGAAAACAGAAAACACGTCACCGTGGTTTTGGCTGGGAGGTCAGCACACATCCCCCACACTCTGGCCTCAGGGCAGCACCAGCCAATTTGGGGATGGAACACAGCCGGTCACTGATACCCAAAACTGAAGTCCCTGAAGGAAGTCCCAGCGGAGAGGGCAGGCCTCAAAACATGGCACTTGGCTACTCAGCTGGCAGCAGAGGGAGGGGGCAACCAGTCTTGGGCTTTGCAGACCTTGCAGTGGGAATCCAGAGGAGGGAGCCTCCCAGACTACTGACTGTCACACTGTCACCCAGCTCCGGGTGTGGCCTGAAGGAAGCAGTCCCCTGGCTGGCCTCGCAGGAGCGGTTTGGACAAGGTATGATGTTCCTTTTCTTCTTCCAGGTTCCTCCACCCCAAGTCATGGAAAGCTTTGGAGACAAGGTTCAAGCCCTTGCTGTCTCCAGAGCAGGGTCACTCTATAAGGAGTGGTCCCCATGGGGAGATGCCGGGGCCGGCTGTCCATTAGAAATCTGTAGGTGAGGCCCAGCTCACCACGAGCTACACCCCCTCAGAGACTCAGAAATTCTCTGTGAGGGAGGACGCAGCGTTTCTCCCCTCTGATGTGGTGACAGGCACAGTGGCCTGATCACACCAACACCTGCTCCTTCCTCCTCCTCCTAAGCCCAGAACAGGTACATAGTGTAGGTGGGGAGAATGGGGGCCAGGGTCAAGGCTTGCTGGAAGAAGGTGGCATTTCTCTGCTCAAGGACATTTAAGAACAGAACCCCAGTCACCCCCAGTCCCCTCTCTCTTCACTCACCCCTGCGCCCCCAAGTTACAGCCAGAGTGCCAGGAGGAAGAGGACGGCGGGGGACGAATGCGCTCATTGTCATCCTGCATCTGTAGACGGATGGGCCGGCGCAGCCCCCAGGAGATGTTCAGCAGCCCCTCCACAATGAACTCGTCTTCCTCCTGCCCACAAAGCAATTGGCACCGTGAGCCAGCCCTGAAAACCCCGCAGAAGCCAGCAGCACGTCCAGGGACAATGGACAGCGCCCCTGACGCGTCCTGGCTGGGCGCACCCAAGTTACACCTGCAGGCCAGCTCTGAGACACACCCCACCGCAAACGACCCCTGACGCCCTGAAGACGACCTCAAGGTCAACACAAAAGTTGCCTTGAAATCAAGCACATGTGTGTCAATTATAAAAATGGTGGGGGGTTTTTTTGTTTTGTTTTTATACTTTAAAGAAAGAAGAAGACATCTCTTAGCGTGAGATGAGCCTTGCTAACAGAAGTCAGAGCCAGATTCTCGAATTAGCTACTTTCCCCTCCCCCACCATGGGAAGATATGTCTTTAGCTAGAACATATGCTTACCAATCTGACCTGCTAGATGAAGGAGATCTGCAGTAACATTTCCCCAAGTTTGTTCTATCGAATACTAGCTCCTCTCGCAGATCAACCATTCCCTTAAATAGGGTGTCAGGCGATCATGAGCTGGGAGAGGATATGTTCATCAGATTTCTTACCAGCATAACATCCCAGAGCCTTTAATTAGCTAATGTGCTACATTATGGCTCTCCAAGAGGTGAATAAGTCCTCTAAGAATTCCAAATTTATACTCAAGGGTGGTTGACTGCTAACAAGTTAAACATCAGACCCTTCTAAGGGCATCGGTGTGTTTTGTCTCAAAGAACTGAATCATTTATTATAATGAGTCTCTATGTAATCATAGAGCATTCTGAAAATTTATTCTATAAGACACACTGCTGAAAAGCTATCCAAGGACCAAAATTTTACAAATGGCTGAGCCACTCACTACGAGAAGCTTTAAGGGCAGTGCCTAAAAGGGTCAGGCCTTTTAGAGGGTCTCAGAAAAACCTACAGCAGTCAGACCTGGGCCACGGCTACGTCTTCGGGATGAGCCACATGGATGAAGAGGACACCCGGCCAACAAACAACTGACCCAGATCCCAGGATCATCAACAGAGAGGAGGAAAGAGCCAAAGATGGCAGGAGAGGAGGAGAACAACTTTCAGGCTGGTAGGGGTCTTGGGGGGAAAGGCTTTAGGTAAGAGCAGACCGTAGAGAGGGCCTTCTACCTGGTAAAGCCTGAGGCTGGCATGCCTACTGTTACATAGTATGATTTTAGGACAGGATTTAACCCACAGTAGGACTTTGCCTACATGGACTGGTTTGAGGGACACAGAAAAGGCCACTGCATCTCACATACTCTCCCCAACGAGCCTGCCCTTGTAGCTGAAATTCTACCATCTGATATCTGTTTCTGTGGATTGAATCGCCATGGCTTGATGAGCTGAAAATGCGTTTAGAAGGTATTACACACATCTTATCAGCCTAGAACACTTGAGTATAAATTACTCCACCTGGCTCCTCCATAACTTACCATCTACCCGATAACAGGCTTTAACGGAAATGGATACGGGATGAGTAAGCTTAGATTCAGGCTGGGGGCCGGGAGAAGCCGGACGGAGAGCAAAGGGCATCCCAGGAAGGCACCCGAGGAAGACCACTGCAGTCATACAGAAGGGCCAAGTGTTTCCACACCTAACTGACTGATGTGGGCCCAGTTTACACACAGAGGACTGGGTAAGATTCCTGAATTGCCCAAGAAGAAAGAGCCTGCTTGAGAGCCATGGGAAAGGATCATTTCATGAACATCCCCTTTGAAAGACCCCCCTCTGAAGCAGAGGCTAGCCCAGGCTCACATCCCCAGGAATATCTCTGGAACAGAAAAGCTCATCCTCATTAGAACAAAACAAGACTGGGGTCTCCTTCCAAAGAACTCCAGGGGCTCCCGCTAACATCCTCAATGAGAGACCACCCCTGGGTGGGGGTAGGAGAGGCAGGGACCCCAAGACCCCAGAGACATGGAGACAGACTGGGCTGGCCCACAGGCTTTCCCCGCGGTCTCCTTACCTCACGGTGTCGGAGCTGCAAATTCTGGCCTTCATAGTACAAATTGTAGGTCTTCAGATGAAGGAGAAGTTCGTTCCTTAGGGCAAGCAAGATACAAAAGGTGTGACATTCGCAGCTGAAGACACTTGTAATGCACCTGTTCCCTCTTTTCTCACCTCCAACCTGGCCTTCAGCTGCCCAGGCTGGGTGTCCATCCACACATGCGTACACACACACACACACACAGCCACCACCCCCATCTCCATTTTCCCCAGGATCAAGGTCAAGAACAGATCCCACCTAGAAGAGACTGAGTGCAATGAACAATTACAGCAAACCCAGGCTCGCAGCTCTGACAACACTCCCCAAACCAAACTCCACACGCAGTCCTTGGTGAGGCGAGATTCACAGAGGCAAACACACGACTAAGTCCACGTACAAGGCTGCTGGGGCCCCACTATCTTTTCTTCCTCACCCCTGCTGTGAGGACAGGGCAATCAATATAGGCTTTCGGGAGACTCAGGAACTTCTAGGCTTTGCAGCAAGTTAAAAGGGACGGTCTGGACCCACTGACTAATGCTTCAGAGACATGACCTTACAGCGTGTTTAAAAACTCACAAATTCCTGTCAACAGCGCAGAGGATGAATAAAGGAAGCTGTAGTCACACGGTGGAATGTTACATAGTAACAAGAATATGAATGAGCCACAGCCCCCACGGATGGATCTCACAGACGTTCGGTTGAGGAAAAGATGCCTGACTCCAAAGGCCACGTATTATATGATCCCACGTATATAGAGTTCAAAATGGGTGTTAGAATTCCGGATAGCAGTTCACCTTGGGGAGCAGTGACCACAAGAGGGCAGGAGGGGATTCTGGGCCCTGGCAATATTCTGTTCTACAAGCTTTTATCTTTTTATTCTATTCTAAGTGCTTTCAAGTTTATTAAAAAAAAAAAAAAAAAAAATTGGGGTCGGTGCTTGGCTGGCTCCGTGGGAGGGGTGTGTGACTCTTGATTTCAGGGTCGTGAGTTCAAGCCCCATGTTGGGTATACAGATTATTTAAATAAATAAAATTTTAAAAAATGTTTTCTTAACTTGCAAATTTCCCTCTGAAACCCTATATTAGCCTCCTTTGCTGTTAAATCCTGGTTTTCAGGTGGCCCCTGGAAACACAGCTCTACTGAACGAGAGAGAGCAAGGACTTCCCACCTTTGTGATTTGGACGAGGCCTCATCCAACTTGAAGAACAATATACTCCAGTTTTATCTGAAGGTGCATGCTAGTGCCTGAGGGCCGGGAAGGCAGGGGCTTGAAGACATCGCCCTGTGCTCTTGCCTACTCTCAGGCAAAATTTGGACTCTCTGAATGCTGCCATTCAGTGGAGCGATTTGGGGCCACACCAGAGGTCAGAGCTGGCTTGAAATTCTAAGAAGCTCCTGACAAGTTAAACCTAGAAAAATCGGAGTCATTCTATGCAAGCCTAAATGAATTAGTTGAAAAATGTGACTCCAAATAACCTAACGCAAAAGCTGCTTGGGACTTTTGAGCACAGAGATCTAAAATGACTGGCCAGTCAGTCGAGGGCCCTGGAGAAATCCCTCAGTGAAGCAGTAAGAACGAGCCACAGTTCACACAACTGCGTGTCTGTATGTGGCCAAATATGTGTAAAGGAATTAAAACAATTTGGCCTCAGATGAGTTAAACATTTAGGTCAGATAGAGAGCATTCAGTATGAGCGAATCCCTGTGCTGGATAGAAAAATCTATTCTCAAACTTATCATTTGAAAAAGTCCATTTTGGCTCCCATTAGCAAAAAAAATCTGAGCTCAAGAGATTTGAGTGCATATAAAGCCATAAGACTGTCTCTTTCTGTTCAGGGGTCACCTGTGTCCATTCTGGCCAGACCCCCAGCTGCACAGGGATATGACCCAGCGGGGACTGCCTCAAGGGACACCACAGACAGCACAAGGGGCAACCACCATTAATTCCTCCTTCCAGGACACCATCTGTGTCTTGAAGGTCCCCTTTGCTTCGCTGTCCATGGCTAGACCCAAGGCTGTGTTTTAATCTAGAGCACCAACCTTGCTGTGCTCCCTACTTCCCACACACGGGAGCCCCTGCCACCCATGGGCAGAAGAGGCTCTCCTGCCAAGGGCTTCCATCCACGCGGGACTGGCCACTGGGGGCACAACACTAAAGCCAAAAATCTTACTTGGAGATGTATTTATCTTGTCCGCACGGGACGAGGGAGGTTTGGTGACTGTAGTCCATTCTTCTGTTCTCTTTTCATCAGAAGGGGAGACCTATGTTTGAAAAAAGACAGAGGTCAAAGTCAAGTTGGGTCCTTAGGGATGCAGAACTTGGGCCAGGGGAGGGGGCACATGGCTCTCTGTTCCCACCCCAGATCCACAGCTTGGGCAACCCAATGCTGACCCAGGGCTAGTGAGATACCACACTGCTGGCTGCTGCCTCTGCTTGGCACAGCCTCTGGGGAGAAAAAAAACACCCAAAGGGGAGATTGACAACCCTTGGAGGCCCCCAAAACAAATGCTCCAGTCACTAAGAATGTTTGATGCCCAAGGTGGTCCCAAGGGTGACCAACGAGTTTTCCCTGAAGAGAACTTCACCACGCAGAATAGAGATGTGTCTGTCACGGAAGACTCGAACTCCACTAAGGTACGCTAGAGACTGGCCAGCCACCTAAAAATGCCCAGACAGAGCTGGGCGCAATGAATCTAGCATAGACACCTACAGTCGCCATTAAAATAGGATAAGGTTAAAGGCAGTTAATTACCTGGGAAAATGACAACATGTTATGGAAACAAAGGTTACAAAACCATGAGTTCAATTTTGTTTAAAATATATGTAAGCCTAAAATATGTTATTTTACATTAATACGAATGGGTATAAATATTCAGATATTCAGATATATATGTCAGGGTTTCTCAGCCTCAGCACTGTCGACATTTGGGCTAAAACATTCTTTGTTGTGCAGACTGTCCTCTGCATCGGAGGGCACTGTTAGCAGCATCCCGGGCCTCTATCCACTGGATGCCAGCAGTACCACCCAGTCATGACGATCAAAAATTACCCAGTGTCCCCTGGGGGCTAAACGTCCTCCAGTTAGGAATCCCTGGCATGTGTCTATCTGAATATAAAGGAATGAAGGATTGGCTCTCTCTGGGGAATGACATTACCCCAAAGTTTTTTCCAACATTTTATTATGAGAATTTGCAAACATAAAGATGAAGAAGACAATGAACAGCCATGGATATATGCTTATTCTACCCCTAACATTTGCTGGGGTGCCTGTTGGCTCAGTCAGTTAAGTGTCTGCCTTTGCCTCAGATCATGATCCCAGGCTCCCAGGATCAAGCGAGCCCCACACTGGGCTCCCTGCTCAGCGGATGGTCTGCTTCTGCTTCTCCCAATCCCTCTGCCCCTCCCCCACACTCGTGTTCACTCTCCCATGGTCTTCTCTCTCTCTCAAATAAATAATCTTTAGGGTGCCTGGGTGGCTCAGTGGGTTAAAGCCTCTGCCTTTTGGCTCAGGTCATGATCCCAGGGTCCTGGGATCGAGCCCCGAATCAGGCTCTCTGCTCAGCAGGGAGCCTGCTTCCTCCTCTCTCTCTCCGCCTGCCTCTCTGCCTACTTGTGATCTCTCTCTGTCAAATAAATAAATAAAATATTTGAAATAAATAAATAAATAATAGTCTTTAAGAAAAATTACTCTCCTTATCACACAGCTGTCCAGCTATACATTCCTTTATCTATTCAACAATCCATCTTATTTTTTTATGCATTTCAAAGTAAATTACAGATAAAACAAGTTTCATAACTTAAGATTGAGATCATACCAAGTATCTTCTCCAACCACGGTGGTATGAAACTAGAAATCAATAGGAGGAAGAAAACTGGAAAATTCATGAATATGTGGAAATTGAACAACATGCTCCTGAACAACCAATGGGTCAAAAAGGAAATCAAAATGGAGGTCAAAAATATCTGGAAACAAACAAAATGGAAATAGAGCATACCAAAAGTTATGGGATACAACAAAAGCGGTTCTAAGAGGGAACTTTATAGCAATAAACACCTACATTTAAAAAAGAGAAAGATCCCAACAACCTCGAGGAACTAGAAAAAGAATAAACTAAGCCCCAAATTAGAAGAAGGAAGGAAATAACAAAGATCAGAGCAGAAATAAACGAGAGACCAGAAAAACAATAGAAAAGATAAGTGAAACTAAGCTGGTTTTTAGAAAGGATGAACAAAATTGACAAACATTTTGCTGGACTAAGAGAAAAAAAACAAATAAACAAAATTAGACATGAAAAGGAGACATTACCACTGACACCAGAGAAATGCTAATCATCTTAAGAGACTACTATGAACAATTATATGCCAATAAATTGGATAACCTAGAAGAAATGGATACATTTCTAGAAACATATAATGTACCAAGATTGAATCATGAAGAAAAAGAAAATCTGAATAAACCAATAATGAGTAAGATTGAATTAGTAATCAAAAACTTCGCAGGTTTTGAAAAGAAAAGCAAAGCCTGGGACCAGATGGTCTCACTGGTGAATTCTACCAAATATTTAAAGAAGAATCAATACCCAATCCTTCTCAAACTCTCCTAGAGAACCGAAGAGGAAGGAACACTCCTAAACTCATTTTATGAGGCCAGTGTTACCCTGCTACCCACAGCCAGGTAAACATACCACCAGAAAAAGAAAACTACAGGCTGATATACCTAAAAAGAGTGAGTGTAAATGTAAAGATTCTCAACAACTAGCAAAGCAAATTCAACAATACATGAAAAAGATCATACAACATGATCAAGTTGGATTTACCCCTGGGATACAAGGATAGTTCCACACATGGATATCATATATGATTACCTCAACAGATGCAAAAAAAGCAATTAATAAAATTCAATATCCTTTCATAACAAAAACTCCAACCATTTAGGTATAGAAGGAATATGCCTCAACATAATAGAAGACAGACATGAGAAGCCTACAGCTAACATTGTACTCAACAGTGAAAACCTGAAAGCTTTTATTCTGCAACCAGGAGTAAGACAAGGGTGTCCACTTTCACCACTCCTATTCAACACAGTACTGAAAATCCTTGCCAGAGTCTTCAAGCAATAAAAATAAATAAAAGGCATTCGAGTCAAAAAGAAGAAGTAAAATTGTCTCTGTTTGCATAATATGATCTTATACATAGAATATCCTAAGGACACCATGGGGCCCCTGGGTGGCTCAGTCAGTTAAGCGTCAACTCTTGATTTTGGCTCAGGTCATGATCTCAGGGTTGTGAGATTGAGCCCTGAGTTGGGCTCCGCTCTCAGTGGAGAATCTGCTTCTCTTCCTCTCCCTCTGTCTCTCCCCTGACTCATACACACTCACTCTCTCTCTAAAATAAATAAATCTTTTTTTAAGAATCTTAAGGATTTTTCCAAAAAACTGTTAGATTTAATCAATGAATTCAGTAAAGTTGCGGCATACAAAATCAGCATACAAAAATAGTTGTGTTTCTATACACTAACAGCAAACTATCTGAAAAAGAGATTTAAAAATCCCATTTACAATAGCATCAAAAAATATAATTCTTAGGAATAAATTAACCAAGTGTGTGATAGATCTTCACACTAAAAGTTGAATGATACTGATGAAAGAAATTGAAAAATAAATAAATAAATAAATAAATGGAAAGATATCCCATGTTCATGGATCAGAAGAATATTGTTAAAATGTCCATACTACCCAAAGCCACCTTTTGATCAACGGAATCCTTATCAAAATTCCAATGGCATTTTTCACAGAAACAGAAAAAATAATCCTGAAATCTATAGGGAACAACAAAAAAACTCAAACAGCCAAAGCAATCCTCAGAAAGAACAAAGCTGGAGGCATCACGCTTCCTGAATTCAAACTGTACTACAAAGCTATAGCAATCAAAACAGCATGATGCTGGCACATAAACCAATGGAACAGAATTAAGAACCCAGCAATAAACCCATGCACATGGAATTAATATTTGAGAAGGGAGCCAAGAATATTCAATGAGGGAAGAATAGTGTCTTCAATGAATGTTGGCAAAATTGGAAACTCACATGCAGAAGAATGGCATTAGACTCCTATCTTATACGAATCACAAAAATTAACCTGAGGGGCACCTGGCTGGCTGAGCCAGTACAGCATGCAACTCTTGAGGTCATGAGTTCAAGCCCCATGTTGGGTGTGGAGGCTACTTTAAAAAAAATTAACTTGAAATGAGTTAGACTAAATGTAAGACCTGAAATTGTAAAACTCTAAAGAAGAAAACAGAAATAAAGTTCCTAGGCACTGGTCTTGGCAACAATTTTTTGGATATGACACCCAAGTCATGAACAACAAAAGAAGAAATAAGTAAGTGGGACTACATAAAACTAAAAAGCTTCTGTACAGCAAAGGAAACAAAGAGCAAGATGGAAAGGCCACCTACAGAATGGGAGAAAATATTTGCAAACTATAAATCTGGTAAAGGGTTACTATCCAAAATATATAAGGAACACAGAGAACTCAATAACAAAAGAAACCCAACAATCCAATGAATAAATGGGCAGGGAAACCGAATAGACATTTTCCCAAAGAAGACATACAAGTGAACAACAGCACATAAGAAGATGCTCAATAGCAGGTTGTTAGGGAAAAGCAAGTCAAAATCACATTATCACCTCATTTGTGTTAGAATGGCTAGGTATCAAAAAGACACGAGATAACAAGTGTCAAGAATGTGGAAGGATAGGGCACCTTGTGCACCACTGGTGGCAATGTAAAATGGTGCAGCCAATGTGAACAACACTACAGCAGTTCCTCAAAGAGTTAAAAATAGAATTACCATATGATCCAGCAACTCCACCTCCGGGTATATACCCAAAAGAACTGAAAGCAGGATCTTGAAGAGATATTTATACATCCACATCTATAGCAGCATAAAACACAACAGCTGAAAGATGGAAGCCACTCAAGTGTCCAATCAACATATGAATGGATTAGCAATTCATGTTAGACACATACCATGGAATATTCTGCAGCCTTAAAAAAGAAGGGGATTCTAACACATGCTACAACATGGAAGAACCTTGAGGACATTCAGCCAAGTGAAATAAGCCAGCAACCAAAGGACAAATACTGTGTCATGCCATTAATAGGAAGTCTCCAAAGTAGTCAACATCATAGAAACATAAGGCAGAAATTTGATTGCCAAGGCTGGGGAGGAGCAGAATTAGTGTCTAAAGAATAGAGTT